GTAATGGGACTCTGAGGACCCGGCTGAGATGTACAGGAACAGCCCATTTCCAGGCCTCTCCTCTCCGTCTGAGTGCTTTGTACCGAGCGGAAGTCACTAATTACGTTTCCCTCCACTGCTGCAGCCCTCACCTGTGCGCCGCCGCCGCCGTGTGCTCGCTTCGCTGGGCAGGTTGACGTCCACGCTGGGCCCACGTGAAGCTCCTGCAGCGAGGCGGCTTGTTTCTGGGTCTCCATACAGTGCGGTCGTCTCCCAGCGAGCCGGAGGATGTAAAAAGCTCTACAGCTGCGCTCCCAGATTGCAAAAGCAGATGGAATTTCAATGTGAGTGATAGGCAGAGGGGAGGCTGCATGCACAGAATGAGAGCAGAGGAGGAAACAGAGATGCTGCTGATGCATGTCTTCTGTGGAGATGTTTGAAGCAGAGAATTTGGTTGTTTTTACTGCTGCAGATGCAACAATTCATTGTTGCTCCCTGCAGGCCGCCACACGGTGTAGGGCTTCATGTGTCGAGTCGCCTCTCTGGGCTTCTGGTGAGCTTCAAACTCTGCTCGTCCTCTCTGTGCCGCTTCCATCCATCCGTCCGTCCGTCCGTCCGTCCGTCCGTCCGTCCGTCCATATCCATCCATCCATCCATCCATCCACTGCTCCGTCTCTGAATAATTCAGAAGCTGCTGTATTGTCACTTCCTGTCTCCTCTGCAGTAACACAATCATGAAAACAGCAACACAAACGGGACTTTGTGTTTTCACCGGTTTGGCAGCGTCGCCCAACAACAACAACACTTTTCTGTCTCCTCACAAAGTTGGGCTGCAGACAAACTTCCAGGACTTCTCTTGGATTCCTCTTCTTGCTTTTCGTCTGTTTTCTGCTATCTGCTGAGTTTGGCGTCGAGGCACAGCACTTTGCTTTTATTATTGTAATCATTATTTATCTTCATTAGTCCCGCTGAGATCAAGAATCTATCGTTAGTGTGAAAATCTGCTGAAGGCAGCAGCACATTTACATATTAGTTAAAGGCCAGTTTTGAATTTCTAGGAGAAAAAAAAGCTGCATTGCATCCTCTGGACATCAATAATAACTGGCTTTTTAAAAAGAAGATTCTCTAATATCACATCAGGGTGTTGATATAGTTAGCAGGAAGTTGCCTTTTTACACTTCAATTAACATTAACGTTCATTAGAAGTCATGTTTCTGGTCAGTAGGATGGATTTACGTCTGTTGGTTACTCACTTCATACTCTGTCAAGTTCCACATGTGTTCCCTCAGTCACAGTGGAACAAGTCTTCAGATTCTTCTGTAAAAGTACGTCTGTCTGTCCATCCATCCATCCATCCATCCATCCATCCATCCATCCATCCGTCCATCCGTCCGTCCGTCCGTCCGTCCGTCCGTCCGTCCATCCATCCAATCCATGAATCTAAGTCTGTTGTTTAATCTCTTCTTACTCTTAAATATCGACTCTATCATGTTCCACTAGTCTTCCCTCAGTAATAGTGGAAGAAGTCTTTAGATTCTTCGGTAAAGTTCGACGTCCTGCACGAATAATCCTGTTAAAGCAAAAGTCAAGCATGTAAACTATTAAGGTCCAGGTCCAAAGAAACTCTCTGAGCATCAACAACGCTGTAAAAACTCACTTTTTAAAAAAGAAAATACTCTAATATCACATCAGGACAGTGATCTAGTTAGCAGGAAGTTTGTTTTACACTTAAATTAACATCAACATTCATTAGAAGTCATGTTTCTGGTCAGTAGGATGGATTTACTTCTGTTGTTTACTCTCTGGGTCAAGTTTTACTGGATTCAGCCGGTAGTCGTGGAAGAAGTCTTCAGATTCTAGTCCGGTTTGGTTCCTGTGACTGGTAAATGATTTGAGTATTAAAGCATCAGCAGCGTTTTTGTCCTGGCGTTCAGCAGCTACCTGTTCTCACCTGTTTACCGTCTCAGTGCAGCGGCTCATAAACCAAAGCACCGGATAAACTGAAAGAACTCCTGGTGATTCATGTTCCGGGGCTCCGTGGCCGTTCATGCAGTATTTATGGAGGCGTTCGGGCGCCGAGTTGGACGGTTTGACAGGCTGACATGGCCTCAGGCTCTCAGATGTTGGATTTAGTGCGCTTCTATTTTTTTCATATCCGTGCAAATTGAACATTTTGGGTTTTTTTTGACTGGTGGTCGAGCAAAATAGAAACTTTCAGGCGTCATCTTGGGCTTCTGGGATGAACCTGTTTGGTTAACGAGTGCTTGAAGCGCTGTGTTCAGTGGCACTGGAAGGGAAACAGGCGAGTCTTGGAGGACGGAGTCAAACATCCGTGAAGACTGACACCGGAGCTCCAAACCCGAAACTTTCCCTGAGTGTGCCCCGACTGATGTGAAGCTCCCCATCCAGCCCCGAGGCGGTCGAAATGTTAATATATGGCAGCCTGACATTCTGCCGCCGAGGCCAGAACGCCGGACGAGGAGGGACGAAGCCTGATGGGGAGGGGAGTGACGAGGAGGAGGAGGGAGGCTGGACGGGCAGCAGAGGAAGGTGTGCAGCAGACGGGGGCATCGCTGCAGGGCTGGAGGCCTTCGGGAGGCTGCAGGATAAAGAGCTGCTCCGGGCCGCTGGACCGCAGCCATCGCTCTGCTCACGTCCACGCTCGTGTGTGGCCTGAAAAGCAGCTCCTGCAGAGATGGGGCCGTGCACATCTGCTCACCTCTGCAGCCTCACCTTGCCGGGAGCTGTGGCCGGAGGGGAGGCGCTCTGAAGCCGGTCCACTGTGGAGCGGTTCCCCTCCAGTGGCTCCTGGGGTTCAGTGACATGATCCTGCAAAACCAGAGCAGGAAATCTAGCTTATTCCCCTTTTCTCTGTACGTTTGTATAAGGTTCCCTCTGTGTAATGAATGCAACGCTATAAAAATCAACTCTGATTTATTGAAATTTTTCTTTTCTGTGTAGAAAAATATCAATAAAATTACAAAAATAAACATTTTTAGTGTAAAAAACATTTAAAAACAAACAAACCTGTGAGTGAACGACTACAAAACGATTTTTTCTCATATAAGAAATTCATTACAAGGATGGATGGATGGATTTTTCAGGTTTTAACACATTAACAGTTTAATTTTATGGCCACACATGATAAATAAACTGATTACTGTTTGTAAAAATGCAGATATTTAATGTTTACATTATTTACAGTTTTGGCTTTTTTTGTTTTTTTTTACATTAAACGTATAACAAATACTTTTTAAATATGATTGAACTGAATATTTTCTGTCATTTAACAAAACAGGAAACGATAATGAGCAATAAAAGTACGTTATTCTGAAAAAATACAGTTCGAAATGTTCACCGTGAATCATGAGAGGAGAAGATCTTTAGATGATGTTGTTTTTCGTCGCTCTGCCGTCCATAATTGTTTCTAAACAGAAGATTGTAATCCAGTCTGACGTCATGAACACACTCGTTAATAATTGCAGATGAAGCTGCTGCAGATGTTTCCTTTATTGCAGCGTCTAACCAGCAGCTCGTCTGGATGTAAATCAGAGTTTGTAGCCACCAGGCAGCAGAACAGTGCAGAAGCTTCACGCGGTTCTGAGACTCTGATCCGTTTGGTTTGTTCTTCAAACTCAGGACAAGGTTCTGGTTCAACGTGGAGCGACTCGGAGCGACTCGGAGCGACTCGGAGCAGACAACATGACGTTTGCTGCATCCTGTTTGTCTGATGCTTCATTTTTACACTCGTGTATATTTACAGGAGTGTTTCCGTCAATACGCTGTGATGAAGCCGAACAGCATCGATCAGAGCTGCTGGGTTTGATGCTGCCGGCAGGAAGAAGAAGAAGAAGAAGAAGACCAGAAATAATCAGGCTGCCTTGTGTGTGTTTTACCCACTTTTCACTATTAAGACAGTTAATAGTCCCTGGAGTTTGAGATTTAATCGGATCGATTTATGAGTAGAAGTTCAAAACTCACAAATCTGAAGGAAGACACAACGTCAGGAGAACGTTTCCTAGAACCTACATCAGTACGTCGAGTACAACAAGTGTCTGCTGTCAGGAATAAATAATACGATAAATAATAAATAATGACATTTTTATGTAATTTCACTTTAAAAGCAAAGGAAATATTTGCACGACATTCCTGCTGCGCACATTTTTCTGCGCATATTTCCTTTGCTTTTAAAGCGACATTATAAAAAAAAATCAAAAAATTAAAAAATATTTCCTTTGCTTTTAAAGCGACATTATAAAAAAAAATCAAAAAATTAAAAAAATAAAATAAAATCAAAAAATCAAAACATCAAAAAATTGTTAAAATGAAAAAAATAAAGAAAATTTGAATAAATTAAAAAAACTAATAAAAAAATAAAATAAATAAAAATAAATAAAAAATAACAAATTATTATTTTCATTATTTTATTTATTTGTCTTTACATTTCTACTTTTATCAGCCTTTTCTTTTATGGATTCATTTTTAAAAAATCGCTTTATTTTACCACATTGTTTATTTTGTATTTTGTTTATTCTTCTTTTTATTTCCACTTTACTTTATTATTCTTTTATTGATTTATTTATGTAATTTGGCGCTCTCACTGCTCCACATCAAACAAAATACTTATGAAATCCCAAATGTTAATTTCTTGTTTATTTTTATATATTTGCTTTTTTTTTTACATTTTTGCTTCTGTTGTTCAGCTCTGAGCTCTGCATTAAACAGTTCCAGACTTTTCACCTCAGAAGACTTTGAGTCAGAAAAGATTCAGAAAACTACAATTAGAGCTGTCTTACATCACCTGAAGCTGCTTTCTAACGTGTGTGAACGTCTGGATGCAGACGTCGCCTCAGAACCTGATTCCTGTTGTTCAGCAGCACTCTAAATTTACCGTTTTGGTTTCAGGAGAACTTGTTCCTGCTCACCTCTGATCACACCTGAGCAGCTAGAAGATAAAAACAAAGTGTGACAACCTGTTAAACGCTCATCCTTATCGTCATCCTCCTTCTCCTCCTCTGCAGGCCGACTGTCGCTCCAGAGAATACCTTCGCCAACACTTCCCGGCTGCAGATGCGTGAACAAAGGAAACGAGGTAGGTGATGAAGCACTGGAGGTGTGGGTTCCTCAGCCGCACGTTTACAGTCTTAAAATAGGCTTAAAGTCCACAGCGAGTGACTCATAGAGGAGTTTCCCCAAATCCTAAAGCAAAGCCGGCCCGTTGGTAGAAAGCTCGGATCATTCTCCTCTAATCGCTGCTTAGACTGAACAAATGGTGGGAGAGGACAAACACCAGACAGTCTCCGGAAAAGGGAAACTGTTTCCACGATCACGTCTTCATTAGCTGCAGCACAGTGGGAACCAATGTCGAATGAGGACAAACGTTGTCATCTACAAAGAACAGGTTGTTGTTTCCCATCAGCAGGTAGGTCAGAGGTCCAACACCGACAGCTTCTATGCGACTTCTAACCAGAAGCTCAGACTGTGACCAAACAACTACAAATCTGATTTAAACTCTGTGTCCGTCCAGAGTCCCGGTGCAGCGATGCTCTGCTCCCAGCGCTCCTGCAACACTTGGTCCTGTTAGAACATGTCCATCACCGTCTGAACTGGGTTGAAACGGGGATCCTTCCTCCTGAGTTCCATGAGTTTCAGGTGTCAGGAGGCCGGTGTTGTTGGTGGAGAGCGATGGTTGATCCGTAGACGCCGATAAACTCGCGCTGAATCTGGAATCGTGCCACAGTTCTGGTTGTTCGTACCGAGTCCCAGCATGAAGCCACGTCCAGCTTTAAAAGCAGCTGTTTCTCCTCTGGATGGTCGCTGAAGACCCGCCTCGGATGGTCCACCACGTGAAGGTTGGATCATGGCTGCATGGAGACATCTGGGACATGTACCAACCAGCTGATGATGTTCTGAGATCCTCAATCTGCTGCTACGGAGCAGGTGGTTTGCAAACGTTCTCGTGAACCTCATGATATCCAGTAAAGATCTGTCTGGACGGTCCGACCCAGAGGAGTGAAGTCCTGCTGCACAGCCACATGACTGTTGAAGGAAAACAGCACGAGACCTCATGACTGTTGGTCTATTTCGTAGAAGCTGTGGTTCTTCTCCTGGTGTCTCCAGCTGGCTGACAGTAAACTACATGTAGAAGATGAGCTGCTTTCACACATATTTGGCAAAAGAACACATTAGAGGACACAGTTTAGGTGACCTGTAGTGACCTGTAGTGACCTGTAGTGACCTGTAGCTGACCTGTAGCTGACCTGTAGCTGACCTGCTGTCATGAGCAGCGATCAGACCAGGAGCTCGTAGACGCACTAGGAGCACATCACTGAGGTGAAGATGTTCAGAGGACGTTGAACCAAACATGAGCAGGTTTGTTCAACAGAAACAGCATCATGATCGTCTTCTGCCACAGAGACGTGTTTCAGTGATTCATCCCAGAAGATGAAGACCTGTAGGAGCCACTGGGAGCTCCACGCTGACGCGATGTTCTTTACCAGCTTTAGTCGTCTTCAGAGGCTCCAGCAGCTCCACGGCGCTGCAGCAGAGGGAAAGTTTCAGAGTTTAGGAGGCTGTGACGGGCCGTGGACGGTTCAGAGGTGAGGGAAGGACGCCGGAGGTTAAGCAGCGCTGCTCAGGCAGCGAGCGAGCAGGAAGGATGAGGCCAGCACAAGCCTTTGATCCTCTGATTCTCATCTGTGATAACAGGCAGAGCTGCTGAGTTTGACCCTACCTTCCTCATTACCGATCAAAGCCGAAGACCCTGAGCGCGCTCAGATGCTTCGAAACTCCATCATCATCCGCTCTGCCCTCCAAAGCCCACAGTGTTTTTTCTTCTCTCCAAACGTGCACAGAATCCCAGGTCGAAGCGCTGCAGCTCAGCTCCCACATCCCCGCTGGGAGACATAATGGGATGTCCGCGCTCATCCGCCTGACGCTGGGAATCCTGGGAGCGCGCTCGGCCTTTGATCAGCCTCGGCTACAAAGAGACGCAGGCAGGCGGAGGCTTTGTGCTGAGTGTGCAGGGCTGCAGGCCTTCACCCGGCTCTGCCCTCCGACTCTGCAGGCCCGCTGCACCTGAGCAGCCGGAACCGCAGAGTCGGCTTTGGGCCGCCGGTTCCTGCTTTATGACATAACAGGAGCATCATTTGTACATGTGGAGACGCAGTGAGGAGAAAACACCAAACAGGAAGCTTTAAATCTGGCAGCTAAGGAGTGGGAGAGTGTTGCACTACAGAATAACTACAAATATGTGATCATCATCATGCTTTTATTAGATGTACATAAAGTAAAACTTTGATTTTACGCTTAGACATTGTAAAAAAAAAAAAATTGTTTTTAAGGCAACATGTAAATTAATACTTTTAATTTTTACTTTTAATTACTTGTAATTTAACAAAACTGAGAAAATGTGTGAAGTAACGGTTCAATCTATCATTTACCAAAAACACATCTGCTCATTTCTGTATACTAACAAGATTTTAAAGATGTAAATACAGTAAAAGCTAAAATTATTTATAGTTTTGGCCATTTTTCTATGATCTACGTGCAAATTAATACTTTTTGGGAATTTCATCAGATTTTATTTGTGATTGAATAAAACAAATAAAATTGTAAAATAACAGTTTTTAAAAAAATATTTCCCGTTTTTAATCCTTATGAACATAATTAATTTAAATAAGGATTACTTTGGCAGAATTAAATACAGTTTTCATGGTCACAGTTTATTAAAAAAATAAATTAAAAAAATCTAAATGCTATCTGTTAAAAACACATTTTAACAGTTTTTTTTAAAACAGTAAACCTTTTTTCTATTATTATCTGTAATTTAATAAAATAAATTTGACAATAGCAGTTAGAAAATTTTCCATTTTTCAACCCTAATATCTGTAAACTAACAATTTTTCTGTTTAAATGTTGTAAAAAAAAAAAACAAAAAAAAAAAAGTGTAATTTCAGTTTTGCTCTGGGTTTTTGTCGTCAACATGTCAATTAATACTTTAATTGTTATTTTATTATCTATAATTTAGCAAAACTGTCAAAACTTGTTTTTTTTTTTTTTTTACCACATTATTATTATTTCATTCAAACATCAAATCTGTGTAAACCAACAATATTTTTGGCAGATTTTAACACTAACAGTCTGATTTTATCATCTCACATTAAAATCAAACTAATTCCTGTCAAAATAAAGAGTTTTGACGTTTACATGATTTACAGTTTTGGACTTGTTCTTTTTTTTAAACAGTAAACATGTAATTAATACTTTAATAATGTGATTTAATTAAATATTATCTGCAGTTTAACAAAACAGGCAACAACAATGAGCAATAAAAGTTTAAAAGTACAGTTATGAGGAGAATCAGTTTCTCTTTTTTCAGTTTTTTCCTCGATCTGCCGCCTGTGAGTGTTTATATACGACATGAACTCATATTCATCCTGATCACACGTCATCACTTCTTCATATTAAACCTGAAGGCTTTGTAGAGGTCCGTGCTCTCCAGCACGTCGCTGTCCGTCCACTCAGGTGTGTTCAGGTGACTTTATGGACGCAGGATTTAAGAAAACCTGGAAAGTTGAAAACTCCGTCCAGCGTCCACCTGCAGATGTTCTGACGTTCCCGGGTGGCAGAGGAATGGAGTTTCTGTCTGTCAGAGAAAGAGCAGAGAGACACATGAAAGCCGGAGCAGCAGGAGAGGAGATGAGGAGATCCAAACAGAGGAGGAGAACGGCGGGGAGGCGAGGAGAGCTCGGCCCGGAAAATCAATCACTGAGTGAGAGAGCAAAGGAAGGGAGTCACGGAAAGAGGATGAAAGCCGATGAGCAGCCGAGGCGGCGGAGCGATGGGCTGCTTGTTCCTGGATTTAACTGCGTCTGCTGATATCGATTCCCTGATAAAAAAAAAAAAAAACACCCGACACATGCAGCTGCTGTGGTTCCTTCAACATGACGGTTTACTTTCAGTGTTTTGGACAAACTCCGTCCTGATTAAAGCGTCTGTTTGAGTTGAGCTCAAAGGCTGAGTAAAAAGTAATAAGAAGGGTTTTTCTTCTCTTGCGCGGCATCACGTTGATCTTTATTTAATTGGAGATTTCATGTCATTAATTAGTGGTATTAGTCGGAGATGTGTCGTCCTTAAACACTTCTAGATGGAACAAACGTGCCTCCATCCACCTCTTTTAATTTGTGCAAAAATATCTGATAAAAAAAAGTTTGCAAAAGGATTTTTAAACGTGTGTCATGTGGACAAGCTGGTGTATTGATCAGCGATCGCTCAGTGGTGAGGTAGAACTCACAAATCTGCTCGTTTAATGTGATTTAATGATGCTGACGTACAGGAAGCTTCAATATTTTAACTGTGAATTAAACGTTCAACGCAGCCAAACGCTTGGAAATAAGCTTTTATTCTGAAGCCACAGAGACTCGCACGCAACCGTTCAGGATTCTCACCAGAACCGTTAGCGAACACATTAGCATCTTCATTAGCTATTCCTTAGCAGCGAAGACGACGGCACAGAAACGACTTTCTTCAGAACATTTGCACGTTTTACTGTAAAATATGTCAAATTTTCTGAACATGCAGCTTGAATGACAGCATAGCGAGCCAAGATGTGGCGTGTTTTTTCAGGGAAGTAGCGTAATCGACGTTAGCGTCTTAGCTGCTAGCGGATAGCAGCATTAGCAGCAAAGACGATGGTAGAGAAACTGTATTGGAGCTTCTTGTTGAATAGTTTCCTGCTACGTACCCTCACAAACAACATATCGACCCAATTTGCGGTGTAATGTTTTCAGGCAGCAGCGTAGCGGGTCGGTACTCTGCTGTAACGCTGGCCAGAACCCTGTCGTTCCATACGCGACCTCTTTATAGACGGTTCAGACTCTGCAACTAAGATGTCAAACGTGGTTCCTACAGTTGAGACGTCTGAGGAGTGTTACGTTCAGCCGACTCAGCATCCTTGAGCAGCTTTTCTTCATTTCCTTCTGATTGCGGGAAGACGGGCCTTAATGCACGACGGTCCGAGTTGATTGATGTATCGTGCAGGTTCTGTACATCCGAGTGCGTCTCGTGGTGATTCTGTAGCGTCGACAGCCG